TTTTAAGTTTTCTGTGTATTACTTGTTGGTGAAGAAGAGAATTTTACTATGTTTAGATACTGCTTGCAGCCAATGATGCATGAATTTTTTTTGTATAAGATGATTGTTCTGGGGTAGGACTGGATAAGTCTGACTTCTTCCTACTCCATTCAAACATGTGCTGGGTATAAGCAAACTGATTCTGGATTAGCTGTGGTTGGCTTTGTGTAATCATGTGTGTGTGTTGATGTCATTTGTTCTGCATGTTTGAAAGAATAAATCAAATCAAATCAAATCAAATGTAGTTGGGGAGGACGAAAATATAGACACCTCTGAATATAATGTAGTCCACTAAAACACCACCTTTAACTATTACAAAATGACAATACAAAGTGTAGGAAGCTTCCCAGCTCATTGTTTCAGTGTTATATGTTTATTAGGTGCATGCATAGGCTCAGAAGTTACTTTTCAATTTAAGGGTCAACACGATCAAAAAATTAAAGTAAAAAGTTCCTTTAGAAATCTTTTTGTAGGTAAATCTATGCACTTATCAGGCTGTTTAATGAAAAGCTGCACAAGAGCTAATGTTTTCTAGGAGAAAATAATAATCTGACACTTATTCAGACTTCTGACCTTTCAGGGCATGCTTTTTATTCAAGGGGAGTATAACAGGATCGAATGGGTGGTGCTACAGTAAAAATACAGTTGTCAGAAGTAGAGCAGAAAGTTTGACTTGTACACATTTCAAAACAAGGAAAATACTGTTCATATAGTGGCTAAGAGTCAGCTGATGAACAGATAAATTCGTGGAAATGTTTTTGAATACCTGACATGCAAATAAAACCAGTTCAGGCTGGTGGAGTTATCACAACCATAGTTACAGCATTTTTGATTAGTTACAGATCACCTCCTACAGCAGGGAATCTCCACGGCAGCAGGTAAAGTACCTGAATCTAGTCTCGCTAGTTAAACAACAACTGAAAAACAAAGTCACCGGGTTTACTTGTTATGTGTTGCTTTTTGTTTTGTCTTTATAAATCAGTCACCGGAAAGTAAAGGATCTTACAGAGGACTACAAGTAAGATGGAACGTCCAGGGTTCCCCCATGTATGCACAAACACTCCGAAACGTTTGGGTTGAACATCTTTATTCAACGTTTTCCATGTATATCACAGTCGATTTATTGTGCACTGTTGGCTGTCTTTTAAATTGATAAAACATTAGATTTTCAGATGGTAGTGGACTACAGACATGTCTAAGTAAATATTTGGTGACATTTACATGACTTGAAATGTCTGAGCTCAAATTCTAATTATGTTTTTCTTTGTTGCTGCTCATGTCAAATGTTGTTTAAGACAATAATATACTTTTTTTGGAAGACGGTTGGGTGGTGATGTTACATTGAAATTTTGTTTTGAATTGGTGACCTCACACAGGAGTAGTTGGTTAACAGGGCAAAAGAATATAATCAGAAAGGCTGTTTGCTCTTTGTTGTTCCCCCATACTCTACTTTTTTTGTTTAGTGAAAAATCCTGATTGGTCAGGAAGCCTTTCGACAAGATTAAAAGGTGCGGGTCTGTGCAACTAAACAATTAAGCTCTTTAAATACATTTCTACATAATTTAGGCCCAAGAACAATTAGCAACACAAAACAATTTTGTTCAGTCAAGCTTCAAGCTAACTGTTCCTCCACAAATCATCTACATTAAATAACTAGTGCTCAGTGGTTTCTGGGGCACAAAAACAATTGGATGGGGTGTCAATACAAGCCAAAGCAGACTGCAGCACATGCAGTTAAATGTCTTTTTCCCTTCTGGTTTCATAAATCTCTGAAAATTGTTCATAATAATAATCTATGTCAGCTGGCTATAGCCATTAATAAGAAAAAAAAATCTGAAATCATTTTCAGGTAAAGCACTTTGCCACTGATGAGCAGGACATGACAACCATGATCACAAGGTACCACCTCTGCAGTACATTCCCCACCTCAGGTCCAGGAGCCCATGTCTGACCTGCTCAGACATTACAGATAAAAACAGATAAAAACCATTTCTTGGGGAACAGGTTTGGACGTGTGTCTTGTGCATGTGGGTGTCAACTCTACACTATCGGTGACAACAATCTGTTTTCTGCCCTCTGCCTGTGCAACAGCACTCCCTTGTGTCTAACTGACTCGCATCTCCCGTCAGCTGAACGCACCGAGCACCGCTGTGGGTCACAACACCATGAGCTCAAGCAAAACCACTGACTGTAACCACATTGTACCTATACATGGAGTGTATATGTATTCACACCACAGAGGAAAAAGAGCAAGCTTTCATCCCCCTGCTCCCTCCTACTAAGTGTTTTCCAACCTGCCTCATGGTTTTCCACTGACACTACTCGCAGATGGGGAGTTCTTGTTGCGGCTCAGCCAGGAGGACAGGAGGTTGCGGGGCCTCAGCGGCCGAGCAGGGGCCTGCGCTAGACGGACCATGCGCGGTGAACGCCAAACCTTAATTGTAGAGTCATCGCTGGCAGACAGCAGCAGCTCCTGGTCAACAGGGCTGAACGCCACAGAGTTCACCACGTCATTGTGTGCCAGACGTGCCAGACAGATGTTGTAGTGGCGGTCCCAGATGTAGCCATGCTTGTCCTCTGCTCCACTAAAGGTAGGACAGTGGTGCGATAAGTCAGTCAGACCTTCACAGTGGAATCATTTCAACATTGCTGTCAGAGCCTTCGCTTCAGTCTGTCATTACTAAAGTTACAGACCATTATTTTCATTAACTACTGATTAGTTTTTTTTTATAAAATATCAAAAAGACAGTAAAAAAGAACAAACTATGACAATGACACCAGGCAGGAATGAAGTGCAACATAAAGGTAAAGTATTTTTAAGAAGGTGCCTGGTGACCAATCAGTATATTAGGATACAATTAGTAACCACTTGTAGGTGTGGTGCTTGGAAGCTGCTGTCATTTACACAAGCTCCACGATAACATTGACTTTGAGCCACATGATCATTTACTGAAACATCAAAACTGCTAAAATCCCTAACTGCTCAAAAAATAACAGCTGTCATACAGTATGTAAAAAAAGGAGCACTGAATTGCTTCTGTTCACAAAATCAGTACGGAAACAGTCATACTGCTACGACATGCAAATCGCAGTGACCAATTTACCACCATTTCAGTATCACTTCCCTTTTCATACCTGCCTGGCCACTTAATGGCAAAATACAGACACATTAATGGTAGAATGTGTGAAGGCTGCATCTGAGAGAGAAAATATTTTTAGAAAAGCATACAACCTGGCCACAAAGTCTCTGCTGACGTCGAGGAAGATAAAGAAGCACTCGTCGTTGGGTGTGAAGGCTCGGTGAGCACGAAGACTCCTCCGCTCCTCCCTCAAACTCTTCAGATCGATGACGTGCAAGTCTATCTCCTCGGCAATGGGAGGCGGAGACATGGGATCAGAGATCACACATCCGGCTGGCCAAGCCCGGCTATTCACATAAAGGTACCTGACCAATGAGAGGAAAGGAGGAAAAAATAAAGACATTCTTGATTTAGTGATATGTAATGCAACACAGACATCTGCCTGTTTTGTACTAATCCTTTGTCAAAATCTATTTACAAGGCTCTTTAGGTTGTGAAAG